AGATCCAGGTGGTTCTGGGATCATGGGGACAATGAGAAAAGGGGTTTCAAGATGGGGGATTTGGGGAGGTTTAGGACATGGGGACACTGGGGGGGTCTGGAGGAGCTGAGACAATGGGGACACAGAGGAAGGAGTCCAGGATGGGAGATTTGGGGCTGTTTGGGACAATGGGGACACTGGGGGGTCACAGGCAGGGCAGGGCCAGGGAACCCCCAGGGGTCTCCATAACCCTTTGGGGGACACACACCGGGGACAATCCCGGGAGGACCTGGGCACAGGAGGGTGGCACTGGGAGGGGGGGGGACACACCTGTGCCACCTGCCCGACCCCCTGGGACCCCCCTGGCTCCAGGTGCACCGCGGGATCAAGGGCGTGGTTCGGGACAGTGACACCGAGCTGGGCATCCCCAACGCCATCATCTCCGTGGATGGCATCAACCACGACGTCCGCACCGGTACCGGGGCACCGGGACGGCTGTGGGACGGGATTTGGGGTGGGGAGGGAAATGGGATTGAGATGGGATAAGGACAGGGATGGGACGGGATTTGGGGTGGGGGGAAATGGGATCGGGCTGGGAATGAAGGTGGGATAAGGACAGGAATGGAGTGAGGGTGGGAAATTGGAATGGGGACAGGGAAAGGAACGAGATGGGATTTGGGAATGGGATTAGGTGGGGATGGAAATAGGATTAGACTGGGAAAGGGGGTGGGGACGGGAATGGGATTGTGGATACGAATGGGATGGGGCTGGGGACAGGGAAAGGAATGAGATGGGATTTGAGAAATGGGATTGTGGATATGAATGGGCTGGAGACAGGGATGGAAGGGGGATGGGATTGGGGATTGCAGATGGCAATGGAAGCAAGATTAGACTGGGAATGGGGATGGGATCGGGACTGGGGATGGGAATAGGAATGGGACAAGAACGGGATTGGGGCTGGGGACGAGGACAGGAATGGGGTAGGGATGGAAACAGGGACAGGGACGGCGACAGGAGCGTGACACCCTTTCCCGCCGCAGCCTCGGACGGGGACTACTGGCGGCTGCTGAACCCGGGCGAGTACGAGGTGACGGCGAGGGCCGAGGGCTACGAGGCGGCCACGCAGCCGTGCCGTGTCTACTTCGAGAACGTTCCCACCCCGTGCAGCTTCCGCCTGGCGCGGGCACGGGGCCGGCACCGGCCCGGCAGGACCCGCCCGGGCCCCGACCCGGCCCTGCGGCTGCAGCGGCTGCGCCTCCGCCGCCTGCGCGCCAACGGCCGCGGGCAGTGAGCGGGGCGGCCCCGGGGCCGCGGGCTCGGCCGGGGGGCGCGGGGGGCAGGGGGGGGATGGTTCCCAGTAAAGTTTGGCTGCGCTGCCGCTGCGACTCTGCGACCGGGAGGGGCCGGGAGCGGGAATGGGAACGGGAATGGGAATGGGAACGGAACGCGGCTCGGGCCTGCCCGGCGTGGGAACTCGGCGAGGCCACGCCCCTCATAGGCCACGCCCCTTGGCTGCACATCAATGGCCGTGAGGCCCCGCCCATTCCCTGATGACCAATAGACTTTCCGCGCCGAGCCGCGCCCCCCTCTGTGACCATAAATGGTCATTTGTCGTAAGCCACGCCCACCTAACGTCCCTTGCCGGATATCAATTACTGTTATGGCTCCGCCCCCTCCCCTCATTTCTGAGCTCCTATTGGCTGGCAGCGGCGGGAGGGGCGGGGTGTGGCGGCGGCGGGGGCCAATAGAACGCGAGATTCACTCGTGTCGCTACGGGGGCGGGGTTGGGGGGACACTGGGGGGGTTCGGGGACACTGGGGGGACACTGAGGGGGTTCCTGGAGCACGGGGACAATGGGGACTTGCAGTGTGGGGTAGTCACAGAGTGCTGGGGCCACTGTGAGGGTCTGGGGGCCACTGGGCCGTGAGGGATCTGGGGGGGGGGGCTGCGAAGTTCTGGGGACCCATGGGGACAAGGCATCACTAGGGCAAGGGGGGGGGGGGCCCCCAGGGGGGGGGGGCCAGGACTGGGGGGGTCTGGGAAGTGCTGGGACCGTGGATGCACAGGAAGGGTCCGGGGAAGGCACTGGGAGTTGGCACTGGGGGGTGTTGAGACTTTGGGGACACCCAGGAAGGGTCTGGGGGCTGCGGGGGTCATGGGGCCATGGTCAGAGCAATCAGAACCCGCAAAAAGGGGTTGGGGTGACCCCCCCTTAACCCCTGGCTGCTCCTGTGAGGATGGGGAGCTGTGCCCTGCTCGGCCCTGATGCCACCGTGTCCCCCTGGGGGGCAGGTGGCTGCTCAAGGGACCCTCCCGTGCCTGTCCCCCCTCCCCAAATCTAGGACTGGGCTGAGCTGTTCCTCCCAGAGGGGTCCCCAAAACCACCAGGACCCCCATGACGCCCCACAGGGATGCTCCAGCATGGGGCTGGGGGGGTGATCATCACCATGATGACCACCCCAGCCCCTTGGGGTGACCCTGGGGGTCTCTGCAGTGGGGACACCCACTCTGAGAGGGGTTGGACCCCCACCCCACTTCACCTCTGTGCCCGTAGCCATCCATCACTGCCGCATCCCCGGGATTTGGGGGGGCAGGGGTCCCGTGCAGTGTCCCCCCGCCAATGCCCGGGCCCCCCTGCCCTGCGTAGATGCTGCTCCCCCCAAATCCCCCCCCCCCGTGACCCCATAACCTTCCCGGGATCGGTTTATGGCATCATCGGCAGGGGCAGCACTCGCCGCTCGGCGCCTGCGCTCGCCGCGCTCGCCGGAGCCTCCGCCGGCCTGGACACGGCACAAAGTGGGGGTGTCCCCTCCCCCCGTGCTGTCACCAGAGCCCCCCCAAACCTGAGCGAGCCCCCCCAGCCAAAGTGGCGCAGAACAATGGGCTGAACGCGTCGGGCATCTTCCAGCGCTGGGAGCCGCCGGCACAGGCCGGGCTGGGGGTCGCGGGAAACCTCCCCCCTCCCAAAAAAAACCCTCGGCGTGGTTCTGGGGGGGTGACCGAGCTCCCCCCATCCCGGTGAGGGACCCCCCGGTTTGTCCCGAGGAGCTGCAGAGCCGCCGGCCCCGGTTTGAGGAGCGACAGCGCCGGTAGCAGCAGGTGGGGGGGGGCGGGGGGGGTGCTGGGAGGGATTTTGGGGCGGGGGGGGAGGTTCAGGCCGTGCGGACCCCGCGGGGGTTGGAACAGTTTGGGGACTCCCCATCCCCTTCCTTTCGTTGTTCCCATTCCCCCCCCCCCAAACTCTGGGCGGCCCCGGGGGTGCGGGGGGGCTGTCCCCGTGTCCCTCCTGTCCCCTCCTGGCCCCGTCCCACCCCCGTGTCCCTTTGCCCCGCTCTGGCACGGCACGGCACAGCGGGCAAAGGACGGTGCCCAGGGGCTGCCCACCTTTGCCCGGGACGGGTCGTGCAGCGGCTCCCGGTGAGTTCCGGGGTCCCGGGGAGTGGGGAGGGGGCACCCCCAGATCCTGCTGCTCTTCCCCTGTGCCCCCCCCAGTGCCACTGCTGCCCCCGCCGGGTGTCCCAGTTAAACCCCCCTGCCCAGCTGGGGTCGGGGGGTGAACCCCTGAGGGGCCATCAAGGGGGGGAAGGGACCCCACACCTTCTTCTCCCCTTGCTTTGGGAGACTCCTGAGTGGGAGCGGCACCGGCACTGCCCTGACCGCTTGTGCCACCCCAAGGATGGGATCTGGGGGTATCCAGGGGGTCCCTGTGAAGGTGGGCACTGTCCTGACCCCAATCTGCCATCCCAAAGATGGGATCTGGGGGTATCCGGGGGGTCCCCATCCATGGCTTTGCCTTGATTCCCCTGTACCACCCCAGGGATGGGATCTGGGGATATCCTGGGGTTCTCCATCCATGGCACTGCCCTGACCCTCCCATACCACTCCAGGGATGAGATCTAGCGGTGTCCTGAGGGTCTCCATCCATGGCACTGTCCTGACCCCTTGTGCCACCCCTTAGATGAGTCTGGGGACACCCCGGGGGTCCCTGTGAAGGTGGGCACTGCCCTGACCCCCCTGCACCACCGCAGTGACGGATCCGTTGTACCGTGCTCACCCACATCACCACCCCTCTGTCCCACCCCGCAGGTTGCCCCCATGGCGTCGTTCCGCATCCGGCAGTACCAGGACCAGGACTACGAGGCCGTGCGGGCTCTGTTCGCCCGCGGCATCCTGGAGCACGCTCCGGCCGGCTTCCGGCACATTCTGCGGGCGGCTCGGGTGCGCCTGGCGCTGCTGGCCGTGTTCGTGGCCGCTCGGGCGGCCGCCGGCTCCTGGGTGCTGGGGCTGGGCACGGTGGCGCTGGCACTGGTGCTGCTCTGGGTGCTGGTGCGCTCGCTCAGCACCGAGTACGTGCGCGACGCGCTGGGCACCGACCTGTGCGACGTGGCCGGCTCGTACCTGCGGGCACCCGACCGCTGCTTCTGGGTGGCCGAGGAGGGCGGCACCGTGGTGGGCATGGTGGCGGCGGTGCCCGCGGGCCGCGGCGAGCTGGAGCTGAAGAGGATGTCGGTGAGCCGGGAGCACCGGGGCCGTGGGTTGGCACGGGCGCTGTGCCGGGAGGTGCTGGCTTTTGCCCGCGCCCGTGGTTTTGGCACCGTGGTGCTCAGCACCTCCATGGTGCAGGTGGTGGCGCAGCGGCTCTACGAGGGGCAGGGATTCCGGAAGGTGGGCAGCTCGTACCCCTCGCTGCTGGGCACTTTGCTGAACTTCCAGATCTTTCACTACCGCTGTGATTTGGGGGATGGCACCAAGTAGGGCCCGAGCGGCGCCCAGGGGGCCTGGGATGGCTGGCACCCCAAACCTGGCACACCAGCCCCAGCGCGGCACCGTGACCCCGGGACATGAGGCACTGCCATGGCACGCCTGGCGCTGCCGTGGCACCCGAACCCTGGCACACACGGCACTGTCATGGCACCCCAAACCCGGCCCCAGGACACGAGGCATCACCCCAGCACTCCCCTGGCACAGCAGCACCGACACAGCACCGCCACGATCCCAGGACACGAAGCACCACCACGGCCCCACAGCCTGGCATGTGTGGCACTGCCATGGCACCGCCAGCCCAGGACATGTGGCACTGCCTTGGCACCCCAACTCCGGGACTCCACCACAGCACTCCAACCCTGGCACCGCCACGGCACCCCTTCCTGGATTTCCAGCAGCAGGAAATAAAGAGAGACCTGTGGGAACACTGTGTGTGACAAAGGGACATCTTGGGGGATGGAGGACATCCCGTGGGGGTAAAGGACAGCTTGGGGAACAGCAAACACTTTGGGGGAGAAGGGATACTCTGGGGGACACCTTTGGGGATAAGAGGCTTCTTGGGGAACTGGGAACACACTGGGGGACAACGGAGATTTTGGGGGAGAGGGGAAATTTTTGGGGACAGGCGACACTTTGGGGGGCAAGGCTTGTGCCCTCACCCAAGATGGCGGAGGTTCCCCTTTTTCTCTGCCCTCACCCAAGATGGCGGCGGTTCCCCTTTCTTACTGCCCTCACTCAAGATGGCGGCGGTTCCCCTTTCCCACTGCCCTCACTCAAGATGGCTGCAGTTCCCCATTCACTTAGCCGTGCCCTCACCCAAGATGGCAGCGCCCAGCCCGGCGTCACGGCGCGACGTGCAAAGCGCGACGCGCTGAGGGTGGTGCCGGGACCGCCGGGTCCCGATCCCGGTGTCGGTCCCGGTTCCCCTCACCCCATCCCGGTTCCCCCGTGCCGGCCGCACCATGGATTGTTACACGGCCAACTGGAACCCGCTGGGCGAGGAGACCTTCTACCGGTGAGGGGCAGCGAGCCCGAGGCTGCTCGGGGATGCGGGAGGGGTCCCGGGGGTGCTTGAGGGGCTCGGGGCTGCCCGGGAGTAGCGATGGGTGTTGGGGCTGCCTGGGAAGGGGGTCCCGGGGATGCTCGGGGGGATGGAAAGGGGGTCCCGGAGATGGCTGAGGTGGGGTTCTGTTCTGGGGGGCTAGTCCGGGGATTCTGGGGTAGCCACGGGAGTCCCGGGGGTGGTTGAGGGGTCCTTGGGTGGTCACGAATCTTGAGGCTGGCTGGGAATGGGGGTCACAGGGGTGTCTGTGGGGTTTGGAGGTTCTTGGACGGCGTCTCGTGGTGTTCGTGGATCTTGAGGCTGGCTGGGGATGGGAGTCCTGGGGGTGGTTGAGGGGTCCCGGGGATGGTTGAGGGGGTCCCGGGGATGGTTGAGGGGGCCCAGGGGTGATTGAGGGATCCCGGGGATGGTTGAGGGGGCCCAGGGGTGATTGAGGGATCCCGGGGATGGTTGAGGGGTCCCTGGGTGGTCACGAGTCTTGGGGTTGGCTGGGAGGAGGGTCCTGTGGGTCACTGGGGGGGTGCCGAGGTGGCCCCGGCCCCTTGGGCTGGTCTGGGGGTTCCTGGGGTGTCAGTGGGTCTCGGGGCTCCTGGGGTCTGTCGGGGGTGTCCCAGGGCCGGTTTGGGGTGTCTGTGGCTCCCCCATCCCTGTGTCCATGTCCCGGCAGGAAGCTGGAGCTCTATTCCATGGAATGGGGGCTGCGGGAGGACCTGCGTGACTGCGTGGTGGCAGCTGCCCCGTACGGGGGTCCCATCGGTGGGTGCAGCCCCCCCCGAGCCCCCTCCCCGAGCCATGGCTGTGTCACTGATGGCTCAGGGACTGTCCCCTTCTCCTCATCCTCCTCCTCCTCCTCCTCCCAGCTCTGCTGAGGAATTCCCGGCGGGACAAGACCCCCGGTGCCCGCCCGCTCCTGGAGATCTACTCGGCCTCAGGGCTGCTCCTGGCCAGCGTCCCGGTGAGCTGGGAGGGGTTTGGGGGACAGGGAGCTGCCCTGGGGTGGGAGAAGATGGGATGGGTTTGGAGCAGGAGAATTCTGTCCCTGCTGTCCTGGGATGGGAGAGGATGGGATGGGTTTGGAGCAGCAGGATTGGGCAGGAGGAGAATCCTCCTGTCTGGGTCCAGGAGAAGAGCATGGAATGGGGTTTGGAGCAGGAGGAGAATCCTTTCCCTGCTGGTGAGGGATGGGATGGGATGAGGATGAGGATGAGGATGGGATCATCCTCCCTCCCCCCTGCCTGGGGCTGGGTGGGACATGGGGCAGTGGAGGGACAGTGCCATGACGGCAGGGACCTGCAGGCGAGGTGTTGGAATTCTGGATGAGATGTTGGACCTCTGGATGAGGTTTTGGACTTCTGGGTGAGATGTTGGATCTTTGGATGAGATATTGGACCTGCAGTTGAGATTTTGGATTTCTGGATGAAGTGTTGGAACTTTAGATGAGGTATTAGATCTTTGGATGAAGTGTTGGACCTCTAGATGAGGTGTCCAACCTCTGGATGAGATGTCCAAACTGTGGATGAGGTGTCCAACCTCTGGACAAGCTGTCAGAGCTCAGCCCTGGCTGCTGAGCCCAGGTGTGCCCCTGGAGGGCCATTCCTGGCTCCGGGCTGTCCGGGCTGACCCTTCCCTGCCATTCCCAGTGGAAGAGCGGCCGCCTGGTGCACCTGGGCTGGACAGCGGGGGAGGACCTGCTGTGCATCCAGGAGGATGGCACCGTCCTGGTCTACAACCTGTTCTGCGAGTTCAAACGGCACTTCAGCATGGGAAACGTGAGGGACTGGGATGTGGGGTGGGATTTGGGGTGGGATTTGGGATGGGGAAGGTGGGAAGGGACCTCACAGCCTATCCCGTTCCACCCCTGGCTGGGCAGGGACGCCTCCCACTGTCCCAGGTGGATCCAACCTGGCCTTGGACACTTCCAGGGATCCAGGGACCCAGCCCAGGCAGGAATTCCTTCCCAAGATCCCACCCCAATCTCCCCTTTCCCATTTCCCCCCTTGTTCTGCCACTCCTGACATGCCCTGGGTGGGATTTGGGGGATGCAGCATCGACCCCACGGGGCACCACAGGGGAGCCGGGGGCTGCCCCATCCCTCGGGAAAGAGCTGGGATCCATCCCCGAGGGCAGGAATTCCCCTCCTCACCGCCTGCATGAGCCGAGCCCTGCGTGCCCCAGTGTCCCCAGTGTCCCCGGTGTCCCCAGTGTCCCATGCCGGTGTCCTGGCACAGGAGGTGCTGCAGAACCACGTGCTGGAGGCGCAGGTTTTCCACACGGAGTTCGGGACGGGCGTGGCCATCCTGACGGGAGCGCTGCGCTTCTCCCTCGCCACCAACATCGACGACCTCAAGCTGCGCCGCCTGCCCGAGGTCCCTGGTGCGTGTCCCCCTGTCCCCTCTGTCCTCCCCGTTCCCCTTCTGTCCCTCTGTCCCCCCATCCCCGTGTCCCCTTGTCCTTTTTTCTCTCTTTGTCCCCAGTCTCTGCTTTCCCCCTGTCCCACATGTCCCTCTGTCCCCCCCATCCCCACATCCCCTTGTCCGTGTTTCTCCTCTGTCCCCAATCCCCCTGTCTGTCCCTCCCTGTCCCCTCTGTCTGTACCTCTGTCCCTTTTGTCCATCCCTGTCCCTCTGTGTCTCTCCCTGTCCCTGCTGTCCATCTGTCCCTCTGTGTCCCCCTGTGTCCCTCGGTGTCCCCCTGTCCCTCTGTGTCCCTCTGTCCCTCTGTGTCCATGTGTCCCTCTGTGTCCATCCCTATCTCCCTGTCCCTCTGTGTCCATGTGTCCCTCGGTGTCCCTCTGTCCCCAGGGCTGCAGAAGCCCCCGCCGTGCTGGGCCGTGCTGTCCCAGGACAGGGTGACCGTGGTGCTGCTGGCCGTGGGACAGGAGCTCTTCCTGCTGGACAACACCTCCTGCTCCGTGGTGGTGAGGGGGTTTGGGATAGCCCCGCTGTCCCCATTGTCCCTTGGGATGGTCCCAGGTCCTTTCCCTGTCCCCTGGGATGCTCCCAGGTCATTTTTCTATCCCGTGGGATATTCTCAGGTCCTTCTCCTGTCCCATGAGATACTCCCAGATCCTTTCCCATCCCATAGGATACTCCCAGATCCTTCCCCTCTCCCATGGGATATTCCCAAGTCCTTTCTTTGTCCCTCCTGTCCCATGGGATGCTCCCAGGTCCTTTTCCCATCCCATGGGATGCTCCCAGCCCCCTCCCACTCTCTCCCACCCCCTTCCTCCCACTCTCCCAGGCCCCAAAGTGGAAAAGAGCTGAGGGCTGAGTGGGTGGGAAGGGACCCCCCCTGTTCTCACCACGTCCCCTGGGGTCACTCTGAGGCCCCATTGGTGACCCCCCTGTCCCTGTCAGACCCCCCCAGGGCTGAGCCCCTCGGCGGGGCCGTTCCTGCACGTGGCCGTGTCCTTCACCCACCGTCACCTCGCCCTGTTCTGTGACTCTGGCACCGTCTGGATGGGCACAGCCTCGCTCAAGGTGAGCTCACCTGCCC